ACCCCGTAATACTGCGGATTTTTAACAATATGATTAAAATTGAAAATATGGTTGATGTTTGTTAGAAATTAATACCCTGAGAACTTTGTATTAAATATGATACCTTAATTCACTTTGATTTTTATTCTATCCAAGTTATCCAAAAAGATCGTGGACAATCAAGATCTGAATGTGAGGAATTTGTTTTCGATGCTTTTGTGTATAACAATGTAATTATAAAATATGTTCAAATTATCTGTGATCAATCTTAAAAATGCTGTAAACAGAACGAAACGTGAACAGGACTAAAACAATGTCTGGAAACACCAGAGATGGGATCAGATGCCTATAAGAGGAGTAAGCATCCCCTATCGACCAGTCACACCGCCGTGAGCACTCTTTGTTGATCAGGTGATAAGGAATTCTCATAGTATATACAATGGGTATGAAACAAGTCAGCCAAAATACGACCCAAGGTATAGGTTGTGTTTGCAAACAAGGTCATTAAAACGACCGTAGAATTTGCAAAATGCTGACTTTCAACAGACAGTTGAAAGTCATGTAATTTCAACTTATTTATCAGAGGCCTGCCTTGGTTTAGAATTCTACTGTATTGAAAACATGCTCTTACCATATTTTAATTGGGAGACATAAACAACATTTGCAATGTAATATTGGAGTATTACTACATAACCAGGGAAAGTTGACAATGGAAAAGTTGAAGTTGTCCCGTTTGTCGTACAGTTTTGTTGTTGATTTTCCATAAGCATCTCTATTCAGTAAAACATCCAAAAATGAAAAGATGTGACAGATTCTATGTTGTCTTTCATTTCGAGGTCACTGGAATATATCGAGTCGGCATATTAATGAAAGTAACTATTACTGATTGATTAAACGTTGTCGATATATCTATAAATGTAGAATTGAAGGTCAAAGCATATAGAAGTCTTAGAATAAATTCTGCTTCATAAGAATTTACACATAGTTAGGCTAAATAAAGGGGCACAATAAGTGCCCATCGTTTGATTCCTAACCGATTGTAAGAAACCTGGTCTCCAAAGACTTAAATATTGTCAAGGAGGAACTGAAGCATCTGTTTAAAAATCAGCTTCACAGTACTCGTGTATAGATTTTTCGAGTTCTATTTTATTGAAGAAGAAGTTGTTTATTATGTCAAAAAGCCTGGTCTTTAGTTGGTTGTATAAACTGTTGATGAGTCATACATATTAAACTTATTAGTTTTGGGAAAAATTTTGATACAGAATTTTTAAAAGGTTCTTTGGAACTTAAGAATCCATATTTGATTTACACCACTTCTTGAATATGTTTTAGCACATTATGTTGAAAGTTTCTTCTCATAGCAGTTACAGTAATACTTTGTGAGGAGTAAATATAGGGGCTTGATAGAGCATATACTGAACTCTACAATCTTTTTATCTTTGTAAGGAATTTTATGAAGTTTTAGAATCCAGGTACAGTAAATCCATTTCATTTCCGTTCACGTAAATGTTGAAAGTATTAAAAACTGAAACATGATTCTGCCTTTGAAAAGGAGCTGTTAGTATATAGGTTGGATTACCAGATGCGGAATTAAAACCAAATGTATGGGCGCCCATACAAATGCAGTTGTAATAATGATCCTTGCAAAAAAGATTACATTATTACAAGCTTAATTGGCAGGTGGAACCATAACATATTGTTCATGTAGTCTTTCTAATTCTTTTATCACGTCCAGCTTACTGAAAACGGAAGGATTGATTGTACGAACTTTGCCTTTTAATTTTTTAATATGATTCTTTAATATACTTTTAAAACATTTAATCTATTCTGACAAAGTGTCGAGGTCTTCCCCTTCATAATTAACCAAAATATTTGGTATCAAATATACCAAAATATTTCTTGATTAATTAACTTCTAATCAACAGGTTGTAGTTTAAATTAGATCTCCGTTCATTAGAATGAATGTCAGTCTCTGAATGATCCAGAAAGTGTTGGAATCCAGAAAATTGGCGATGGAAAAGTTGAATCATTTCGTTTGTCTAGCTGAGTTGTTAGTTGGCCATTGCTGTCTGTTCAGTAAAATAACAAAAGAGAGATAACCTGTATCTGTAATATACATTTCTGTAGATCTTAAAGAAAAATTTTATATAATCATACTAAAGTATCTATCTAGAGGATTTTTTTTAAATACTAGATATATTTTAATTCGTATTAGTGTAGTGTTACTTTCAATGTACTTTATAGAAGTGAGGATTACTAGTAATTAAGACGGAGAAAAAAAGAACGTAAGGAAGAAGATATACATTTATCTTTAATGTTTACAGAGTACATGCATTTTGGAACGCAATGAAACATAAAACATGTGTAATCGATGTTTGAAGTATGTAAAGTGGAAGAAAATGAATCCAATCTACTGCAAAATTAAGGAAAACAAAGAAACATGTAATAGATCAGCGTTTACACTAGTCAGTTTTAAGAATGCAGTAATTTATAATTTACTAGTATCTTTCCAACACAATATCTACCGGACCTATAAATAAAAGCCTGATTTATGACTTTATTTTTATTGATAAAAAGAAAATATTACGGAGAGACACTCATATTTAAGACACTCACAGTGCTATTTAGGGAACAGTTTTGTATTACTGCTTGATATGAAATATAACAAAAAGACGTTCATAAAATGGATGATTGATGCACATCTTTCTAGAAAAGATTAAATAATACACGTACTTATAAAAAACTAAAAACTTTGAACAGGTAAATATGGAATGTGTAATTCATTAATTAGCATTTAGTTATGTCAAAACGAAGACAGTTATTGGAATTTATAACGATATACAGAAAAAATTTCAGATGTCTTAATTGATATTCAATCTTTATCATCAAGTATATATTTCACTGATTGATTTTTCCTCAGATAATACATCATAAATGTACCTTGGTGTTATTAATAAGTGAAAACATCAATTATACGCCTTAATATTACAGATATGTTCATATATTTCCTGTTCTAGTGTTTTTGGATGGTCATTAATTTATAGCGTCACCTCATACAGACGGAAATGAAGACCTCACACAAGAAAACATATAAAGTGTACAATAAGCTGTTCTGTTACATAGCCAGATAAGTGCAAAAAAACATAATCTTTAAATTCTTCAATTAAACATATTAATATTACTAGGGCTCTCCATCACTTTGTTAGAATATTCCGTCTGGGAACACAGAATATGTCTCATATACATGTAGTTGCAATGTAGTAAAACAGAGTGGATTCGCTTTGGCAGGATTTTGGAAAATTCACTGAATGCAAGTGAAGTTGCATTGAAAAGGAAAGGAAAACAAACAAACAAACAAAACAAAATCAATCATAAAAACCTCTTTTGAGTCTTTATATACTTTCCATCCCCAAAAATTATTTCATAAAGAAAATGAACACTTTTCTTGTTTTTTACTAGCCTCAAATTTATCCGCCATGTTGACTTCGGAATTCTGAATTGTTCATTGTTATCCTATACGGGTACATTTGAATTATCTGTGTTTGTTTTTTAAGTTTCATGTTCAGTTAAATTGATCAGAATCATAATCAGAATTATCTCTGTGGATTGATATAAAGAATTCTGCAAAAAATGAAAATGGAAAATATTTTTGAATAAAAAAAATCTGATTAATGAGAAATTGCAAATCTCACATATATTTTACTTGAATTCTTTCATAGCCTTTGTTATGGTTATATGTGGCGTTCATAAAGTTATATATGTTTACAATCATGGTTGTTTCTAAACAAAGTCAGAGAAAGTTTGGTTTGCATAAAAATATCTTTTTGGGGGGTCTATATTTGTTGCCAACAAATGAATTATACCAAAAGCAAATGCTTAGCCTGAATTTTCTCTGCTCCTATTTATAAATCAATTTCAAGAATAAGACAGTATTACATGGGAGTGTCTTCTTTTATAAATTAAGAAGCTATGTATAAGGTGCCAGTTAGAGAATTTTTTCCATATTAGCTGTAATATAAATCTTTCAATTGAGACAAAATTTTGCTCAAGAAGAGTGCAAAAATCCCAATTGCAATAACTGAATCTTATTTCCGATGGAATTTTTTTTCTTATTTGCAAAGTACAGTTTGTCTGTTAAAGAATTTATGCACTGAGTTCCAATTTTATCATGAACTATTATTACATACATGTATCCCAAGTTACTCTTCTTTGAATGTTCCTTAAGATAAGCAGTGTGTTTGCATAATAAAAAAACCGAAATATAATGCCTAAAAATGTTTTCTAGGTATTGTAGCCTTCTTATGTTTAAAAATCGATCGTACTTATAACATGCTTTTGATTATCGAATGAGTAGGGGAGACACAAACACCATATGCAAGTGGAAATTTCAATTCAGAAAAACCCTAATTTTTTCTCAAGAACAGTACAAAATCCCAATTGCAATAACTTATTTCCGATGGATTTTTTTTTACATAGTACAGTTTGTCTGTTAAAGAATTTATGCACTGAGTTCAAATTTTATCATGAACTATTATTACATACATGTGTCCCAAGTTACTCTTCTTTGAATGTTCCTTAAAATATGCTTTCTCAGTGTGTTTGCACAATAAATAAATACCGAAATATAATGCCTAAAATGCTTATGAAACATAGTTATGAAAACATATTTCCATCCATCATTCGACTAGAAAATGTCCCAAGCGACCCACTGAAAAAGGTTACCAACCAAACTGCAAAAAGACCTTAAAATCGCCATATAGTAACCATTAATACTGTTTGGTAACAGAGTACCAAGACACACAGCTCTCTGTTTGGTTGTGTGATGACGTTTATACATCTCATTGTTTTCTTTTCTCTCTCTTCTTTGAACCGTGTGACACTTTTCGTCAATCTCTTTCGCTCTTATTGCCTCTTTGTCTCACATGACGAGCTTTTTGATTGACAAGCCGATATCATGTCATTGGCATATTTATATATCCCCCTGTTAATTAATGACAACTAAAAAGACTTCTCCTGACCTAACCACGTGATCTATATGCCATCTTTCTTATTTCTCTTGAAAATATTAGGAACCCCCTTTGATACTGAAATCGTTATCCAAAATGGCCGGATTTCAATTCCTATCAGGACTGGTACTTGTTTCAGTGACTGTTTCTGTTTATTCGTTTATCATTGGAGCTCCTCCTGATACCTGTGGAAATCCGACCACTTTCCACACGGAACCGCTAAATGAAACTCATGTCGGACAATATCTGGCCCAGAATTCTTCAACGGCTCCTTATAAAGTGATAATTGACACGAAATTCTATGAAAATGAAACTTATTCTAAAATTTTGGGAAAACAGAACAATCGAGTCAGAGGTAGGTGTTTTTCTGTAAAAAATTAATTTTAAAATGTTTTTCTTGATGAACCATAAAATAAATTTACACAATTGCAAAATCATTGGTTTTATCCACCTCATCAATGCAATCCGAGGAAATTTTACATGAATATCCTCGATAAAATTGATTTTGACATTTCCTTGTTTATACAATGAGTTTAACTTGATTCCTTTGTTACTTGTATGCTTTTCTAGAGTCATTAACGCTTTTTCAAGTTCATTTCACGTTTTAAGTATTAAGCAGATGACGTTTGTTGAAATGCGCTGTTTAAGATGATTTATTTTATAATTAACATAAAAAAGGTGTAAAGAAAAACATGCCTTGTTTTTTTTTCAAATCAAAGTTTCACGAGAAGCCAATGTTCGATGTCTGTGAATTTATAAAGTAAGAAAAAGGTAAATCTTCACACGACCTATTTGCTAATGTTATTTAGCTCTTAGTTTATATTAATCAATAAAAAAAATCTTATGCTGAACACAAATTGTTGTCAAATTGAAATACTGTATATAAAATTCGTAAAGTTAAGTTTCTTTGTCTTGAAGTTTCGTTCCTGCAAATCACTGGTCATTTACACGTGTTCCGACGTCACTGACGCCACATCGTCCAGACCCTAAATTACCAGGCGTGACAAAGGCTAAGATTTAACATGACAAATGTCTTGTTTAACCTTTGTGACCTGGGGTAAGGGTCATTTAATGACCAAACCTTTATGACCATGACGTCTTCTTGTGTAATTATTCAACTGTGTTTTGCTTTGTTTAGTAATCATTTACATAAAATACTATGTATAATAAAATGACATTAATATTTTGCAATAGGTTAACAGTGAAACAGAAAGTTTACTTATCGATTATATTTTTTCACTATAATGTATAAAAAGCTTTACATATTAGCCGAAAGTCAAAGTAAAATTTACATTAATCTTTATGATAAGTAATTAAAGCAATAAATAAATTGAATTGCATGATTCTGTTTAATCTTGAACATCTAACAGAATGATGAACAAACACTGAACATGTTTAACAATTAGTTAAGCAATGTCAAAAGAGGCTTGGGATCTATTTAAGACGGTTTTATTTTATAAGATCTTAATTAACTATAAAAACGGCATTATTTTAACTTAATGTATCTCTAACAAATATATACTCAGTACACTTCACCATTCATACAGTGAAATATGCACAATTGAAAAGAATAGTGTACACAATATTGGGTTAAATGTTACAGTAATAAATCAACCCTTATTAGAATAACTTTATAACTTGGTCAAGCTTTCCTTCATAACTTTGGGTAAAATTAAGAATTAATTGCAAGAACAAAACTCCAGAATGGCTTAAGTAAGAAACATCTGAGTTATACATGAACTTGCCTTTAAAGTCTTTATGTGTACTGTATTATTAAAAATAAGTTTGAAAGGAAATACAAGATGGAAAAAAAAACTAACATCATTTTAAAAAAAAAATGCAAGCTCTACAGATTTATACTTTATATTGTTTGCTTTTATAAAAAAAATTTGATATGTTTAACTTTTTTTTTAAATTTTCATTACCTTTATGAGATGACTGTCATTTCCAGCTTTGGTTAAAGAACTCCCTGATTTCACCAAGCATTAATTTAGTTATGAGAGTATAGATTATTTAGTAATTTCTATCGTCTGCTTAATTTCTCTGAGTTTCTGTATCATTGCGTCTTTACTGAAATGAAATTATTTTATTTCGGTATTTTTTACTTCTATTTCAAGTGCAATTAATAGGAACATGTCTGTCTTTGTATCGCTGACACTCCAAAACTTGAATAGAAATCTATTCAGCATTGCAAAGTTTTTATTTACTCTTTTAAATTTGAATTTGAATCTCTCGATTAAGAAATAACTTCAGGCGACCTTTTGAAGTATGTCACTTGTCAGCATTTGAGAAAAGTTTGGTCAGAATCTCTAACTTCAAAACTACACTTATTTATTACAATTCATTTTTTATAACAAATTTGAATTAAACAATGCAAATTATATATACAACATTCATTTTAAAAACTGCTCAAAAACCATAAAGAAACAAGATTTATGGGTGACTAGTTTTTGTGGTGGAAGGATATTTAGAATGAAATAAAGATAACGAACAGTATTCGAGCTAAGTAAGTAAGTAAGTAAATTTTATTTAAAGTCGGTATTTTTTACAAAGTTTAACAATGAACATGAGCTCTGTAGAGCTCTTAAACCGACTATCACAGCTAAAAATATCACAGAGAAAACATTTACAACATAAACTAACATGCAAAAAACACATGTACATGTATACACACACGCATGGCAGATAAAACAAATTTAAGAATTAGAAGAAAAAAAAACAACAGAAAACTGAAGAGCAAAATGATCAAAAATAAATGAAAAACTGCAGAAATAGAAGAATGTGACTCTAAAATAAATAAATAAATAAATAAATAAATATTGTCTCATCAGCTATGCTGCCCCCAAGCTGTGGTTTCTGCAGGAAGCTCAATAGGCCATTAAAGATTACAAAATAAGACCAGAGCAAACACGGACCTCTAAGACATCAGAGGTGGGATCAGGTGCCATGGAGGAAATTTGAGAAAATTCTTCAAATCTACACATTTGTTAAATTCAATAGCCTGGAACTTTAGCCCTACATATTTTTCCCCCGAGAATGTTTGGTTTCAAAAATATTTTTAGAACAAATTTTGCACATTCACTCAACAGACTTTGCTGAGAAATGAAAATATATTGAAGATGTCAAGATGAAATTTACATTGTTTTTTGCCTTAAAATCGCATATCTTGACGTATATTTCAAAATTTACATCACTGGCCCCAACTTTTGCTTTAATTATTTTAAATTATATTTTACTTCCAACGATCAGCACTAAAGTCATAAAAGGCTTGATACAAGAAAATGTTTTATTTTACATAATTAATACCCCAAATTTGATATTTCTTTAGTACAAAAAGGTCACACGATAATTCACGCGCATTAATTTGCAGGATTTTTTTCAATGATAAATATTATTCAATCTATTTTACATAAAATAAGATTATATATATTGCCATGATTACAATATGATAAATGTTAAAGTGATTAACTTAAAAAGTTACAATTTAAGTGCAAAAAGGTCAAATTAATTGTACCGTTGCTCAGTAAAATGCACACTGGCCTCCGATTTTCCGTGCGATTTTGAGTAATTCTATATATTATAGTAATCTATAATATACTTCTAAAAAAAATCCTTGATATAGCTCATGTGAGGAGTGGCATACCTTAAAGCATCGATTACTTATTAACTTTTGACAATATTTCACATTCGGCATTATTTTCACTTTTTGACTTCTTTTTTTTTTTTTTCAAGACTTCAATTAATGTTATGAACAGTTTTAAATATATGTATTACAATCTCTGGATATATTATTTTGGGTGTCTAGCTTTGAACAATTTCTTTGTTTTATTGATCTCCTGTGTGTTATACATTTTGTTAATTTTTAGTTTTATACTTCTGAACATAAAATCTATGGTAGTCTACTTTTGAGAGATCCATCAACAAAAATTCTACAGAATAAAAAAATAATACTTCTATTAATATTTACATTACAATGCTTATAAAAATTTTTAAAAAAATTAAATTTTCATTTTATTTTACAAAAAATATACCGAAAAAAATAATAATAACAAATAAATAAATAAAAACAAAAAGAAATGATCCTAATGCAGTATGCCTTGGTGTATATATTTGATATTTAATGTATGGATGTCCATCGAAAATTAAGGATGAAATACAATTGGGTTTTTATGTGCTTTTTAAATAAACAAAAATTGCTACAAATTTCTACTTTTACTTCAAAACAAATGTATTTTAATCTTTAAAGATACTAGTATATGGATCTTCATGTTTTTTCGACATTCCTTAGTTTGCTATACCTATGGATTTGAATTTTGCATATCAGTAAGGTAATTAAAAAGAATTTATGTTTAGAAGTAAAGCATAATTTTCATTCTTTAAGAAAACAAGCAATGAAACATTATAATATGCCATAGGTGAAAAGATAGAAAAAGAAATTCCCAAATATAGTTTGAATGACTAATTATAAAACACTAATCTTGGTTACAATATTAATGGCCTAGACTGACAAGAGACACGCTAATTTTGACCGAAATGCACAGGAATTATTTCAGTGATTGACAAGTTAAAATAAATTTATATTCCAACTTCTCTGTTTGAACAATTTTTGACATATAATTGACATTTTTTTGTGGCCACTTTTGAAATTTGTGGTAGGTTATCCATTGATTAGATGACAAAACATGAAAAATAAATAGAGCAATATTTACATGATAATAACGTTTTAACATATGTTAACCATGTTAAGTCATGACACTGGCCTCAATATAAGCATTTTGACGTTTGATTATCATAAAGACAGAGAAATATGTAAATGCTGTGTTTTAGCATAGACCTATTATATGCAAAAAGAAACGCAAAGGTCCCTCCGAAATGTTATAAAAAATATAAATAATTGGAAATAGAAATAAAAGGTTTGTGCTTTGGGCGTGTGTCCCTAATAAATGGGCTAAAGATAAAGTTATTCTTAGATCGATAACGCGGGTCCTAGATAGTTGATAAGTATTGGTGGTATTAGGGAACATTTATTGCTTTTTACAAGTCGCTATTTTCGTTTTAATACAAACAACTGTCCACATGATAATAATGCCTTTTAAGTAGACATGTTTGCAGATATTTATAAAACTTTATTTAGGAACTATATAATACTGCAACATTAAAAAACAGTAAGAACAATCAGGGAAATCAAAATTTACTGATTAATACTACAATATGCACATTCAATAAATTTAAAATAATACACCATAAACAAATATCTGTATTTGAAATGATGATGCTAGTCTTTTCTGTTTAATAAAACCATGATATACTTTATAAATGTAGACAGTAAAACTTGACTATAATGAAAATAAAACGTTATTACAGTTCAGGAAGAAAATAAATGTTAAAATGAATACTTGATTTCTTATACTTGTTTTTAAATAACGCTTTCCTTACCTGTATCATAAAATTTACGCAGTAGCGTCAGTACCATATCTTTTATATATGATTATTAGAGTATAAGTCCAAAAGTGGGCAACCCTGCTGAATTCCAATAAAACATTATATTGGAATAAGGAAATAATATCCCTCTTAATGTGGTCATATTAAACAAGCAAGAAAACAAACAAAACAATATACCTATACATAATGGGTCACATAAATTATACGTCAATGGTTATGATTTAAGGGAGTATGTATACTTTACTACTACGAGTAACACATTTTCTCCAAATAACATGTGAACAGGTGTTTGTGTAGGAAGTTGTCAATATCATGCAATAACAGTTGTTTAATTGATAAGTAGGATATATAAACATGGACTTTGCGCTAATATTTAAGCAATTACTACCATCCGACAGCTGAATGTCACAGGAATCTAACTATTCTCGCGGAATCATAAATCAGAGGCCTTTTATGACCACTTGTCTTAGCGATAGTATGCTAGCCATGCCATTAAAGAATGCCTAACTAACTGTACATTGCATGTTTATTTTGTTGGCAATAAGTTGCAAGAACGATATTTTTAAACTAAGGAGACATGCTTTTTGGAGTTGCGGTATTTTCATTTTCACTATGGAATGTAATTGTTGGATTTCCTAGTGGTGCTCCACGAAATTCGTGTCCGGACCCTGCTCCAATCCACCAAAGACGTATAAACTCTACCCATGTTGGTATTTTTTTCCCTCAGAGTATGGCAACTAGTCCATATGAAATTACAACTTCAGCCTCGCGGTACTTTAATGGGTCCATGATAAGAGGTAGGCTTCTTTAAGTGTTCTATTGGTATATTCAAGTACCATTTAAACAATTGTTCTAAAGTATTATTACTGTTATAGCTTATTTAAGCTGAATCTGCGTTTGAAAATTACAAAATTGTTTCGCTAAGACAGCGATCTTATCGAGTTCATCTTGATTTGGTTTTTAAAAAAGATATGGTAGTTTAGTACGAGCAATTGTTAACTATTTTTAGTAGTTGCAAAAGTGCCAAACAAGTTGTTCTTACACCTTACCCTTAGGGTAAAACACCACAGGTGACATTTGTGCATTGTACTAGTGTTCTTAGTGACATATCACCGGTTTTACTCTAATCAATCATTGTCCACACGTCTCACTCGGACAATGACAATCAACGGTTACCAAACAAAACTCTTTTGTAATTCAAATGTCCAAACAGTTCATGACTTCCTTTGACACACGCTAGTAGTTGTTACGATTAATACCACCAGAATTCTTGGTTCACTAGAATTCACGATTATTTTAGCTATTGTCTGATATTGGTGACTTTTTTTCTTCATACCTCATAGATAAGAAAATGTGTGTATGAATGTGTGTGTGTTTTAAAAATACCTATGAATGTTAGGTAATTCCATTTCCTAATGGATGGCTTTTTGAACAACAGATTTATTACATGCATTAAAATATTATTATTAAACTCTTAAGAAGCAAAATCAATGTTGTAGTTAGATCTGTGGACCTTTTCTCAAGGAATCTTACGATTAAGACAAAAATATTCCCATTCTGTAGAAAATATCTAATCTATAGCAGCACACAAAAATTTCTATTACATTAAAATTATTACATTATTGTGAATAATTCTTTGAAAAAATTAAGAAAAATTGCAGAGTTGTCAAATTGTAATCTAAGTTGTAAGATTTTTGTGAAAAGGACTTCTGAACTACAGTATAGGAAAGTGATTTCAGGGACACAAAAATTTTCATATTTTACCATGAATACATGTATCATATCCACATATTGTGAATAAAGATCGTGACAAAAAATATCGATATTTCTTGGTATATCTTTTTTCTGAAGTCATAAATTCAAAATGGAAAGAATTTTCTTTTTATCAGCAAATCATTCTTAGACTGCAGCATTGCTCTTGAAATTAACACGTTGTCAAATATTTTGATGATTGTCATAGCAATATCTGAGGCTTTGTTGAAAGGAAAAGAAATACAACTTAAGAAGGAAATAAAAATAAATAAAATCGTTATTTTTTTTTTTTTTAATTTGGTCTTAGTTTGATTTCCTTCACGTTACAAGTCAACAAACACATTCATAAGTTATTTTATTTCATTCACAGTAACGTTGAAGGCAGACCCAGGGGATTACTTTCGCGGTTTCTTCATTCAGGCCACCCGAGCTAACTTTGCTTTAGACAGAGGAGACCGACCCGCCTATGGAACCTTCCGTCCAGCCGATACTAACTCTCAACCCCGAAGATGCCGTTCAGCGGTTGGCAAAGTTGGAGGCATAACTCACACCGGAAATAACAATAAAACAGAAATCTCTTTCGACTGGGAGCCTCCAAGAGGATGCAATCTGGGAGACATTCAGTTTGTGTAAGCATTTCTAAAATGAGTTCTTTCATTCTGGAGTATGTGGTTTCCACAAATTAAATTTCATTGTTTGAAATAGAGTTTAAGCTGCGAGTTTATGAAACTCTACTAATTGAACCATTTTCTTATAAGGAAGTACAGTAAAACTTGTCTAATCAGGAACATCAGTGGTTCCAATGAAATTTTAAAACTTGAAATAACTGAAAGGCACTAAAACTTTTAATCTTTCAGACAAAATTTTGGAAAACAACACCCGGCTTGAAAGTTTCACTGCATTATCGTATGTTCGCAAATACTGAGAATACTAATTCATTTTATCTCGTTACAGCGCCACAGTTGTGAGGGCTTACAGTGAATATTGGGTTGATGTAAGATCTGACGTCATTTCACCTTCCGGTTTCGTCGGTAAGTAAAGCATTCTAATATCTTAATGAAAATGACATCGTAGCAAACATATAAATATAGTCTTTTAAGCACTATTGCTACAAGCTTTTGAATTCGATGCATTGCTTTCGTAGAAACTGTACGCATTATATGGAAACCAATCACTCATGAACTTTACCTATTTGACTTGTTGCAGGTGATCGGGGACTTCTGTGCCAACTCTACGTTAATCCATACAGCAAAATTTTGCAGAGACGTGTTCTTAGTGCTCTGAGAAACATTCAAAACATGCAGCAGAGAGGAGGTCGCCGTGGAAACAGAGCTCCAGCTCAAGGCTGAACTTAAAATAAAGATTCCAAAATCTGTAACCAAGTGAACCAACTCTTCTCCCGTATTTCTAAGCATGTACATGCTATACGTTCGATGAAATTTCATGGGTCTATATGTATGTTGGTTCATTTGCTAATTATGAGGGGTAATAAATATGACCAAAAATATTTCAGCTCATGTCAGTTCTCATTTCGATTTTGAAAAGGAGAGATGATTTTCCTCTTGAAATATGTAAACCCCAAAGGCATTACCTCAAACAAACATATTTTTTGTTTTAAATAAGTTGATATTTTTTTAAAATCATTTTTTCATTTTGTTTTGTTTTTCATTTTAATATTGTAAAGTGTGTGAGTGTTGGTTTTTTTCAATAAAGTTGTGTCGTAGAATTGGTTTTGCTCTATACACACAATTAACAACTTAAGCACTTGCAAAAACTCATTATATGCCTTACCACATTTTTAGTCTCTCATTACATTACTATTAACTGGTAGAGTGGTAGTACAAATTTAAATTTAAAATTCACGCAAAACTAACACATTGTAACTATGTAAAGGATTATGTAATTGGAAATATAACATACTACTATGACACATTTTGTAAAACCGAATAGAATTTACATATAAAACTAGAAAACTTAAAGTATAATGTTTAGGATATGTTTGAGATAACTGAAACCTCTGTGTAATTATTTGTTAGTAAAACATGTGCTTATTCTGAATACTTAAAAAAATATGTAAATTCCATATTCTACAAATGAATGTGAAACACATTTTTAGCAATTACAGCGTACAAAAAGTCTTTGACTCAATCTTTCATCCACATGGAATGAGGGAACCTATCAATTTCTCTAGTCTTGCTTCACTCAAATATCCTCAAACACGTACACTTATTTCGGTTCATACCTCCAATACGACCAGAAAAAATAAAGAAAAGCACCGATCATCAGGATCAAAACAAGACCGATGTTCAGAAATATTGCAGCTATCTTGTTTTGCTTGAGTTCTGCTACCTTCGCCATGTGCTCTTTCAATTTCAGATCCTCCTCCTCATTCCCTTTTCCTGCTCCGCATAGGTATTTTAAGAGTAAAGCCTTGCAGGACCTTTCATCTAAACCAAAAAGTCAGAACCAAAAAACAGTTTTCATATTAAGGTAGTAAAAAACAGATAATGCGATCACCAATGGATTACGTTATAGATATATTTAGAATAAAACGTTTACAACCTGTGTCCTCTCGATCCATTTTTTGTTGATCCAAATAGGGATCTCTGTACTTTTTTAAATCTGATTCTTCGACAGTAAAAACATGAGGTTTATTTGTCCCATTACTTGTTCCTTTTTCACTTATATCCGACATAGACATTCCAATATTGTCAAATTCTCCGCTCACATCGCCATTGCAGTCTTTGAGTTTGGCATGTCTTGTCCAATATGTTGTTCGAAAAAGCTAAAACAACCATGGAATCTTTTCAACACAAATGCCTAAGTTCATATAAAATTCTAATCTTATGGCAGAACTGGTCATCAAAATTCTGCTTGAACATGTCATAATGGGAATAATTTGAAAAAGAATCCTAATATCATTGGGGTGGTACTACAAGACACACAGAGGCATTTTCTTATCTACATTATTATCTACTTTTCTTACTACATAATATATATACTAAAAGCTCTCGCAGCACTGGCTAAAATCCGTACTATACAACCATCATAGATGTTTCAAGTAGGGAATAATGTCACTATATTACCATCGATATAACATTTATTATGGGAAGAAGTGGAAATATAGATGCTTAATTTCATGCCAATTTAAATCACTCCAAGTGTGCACACAAACTTTCACATCGTTCTAACTTATAGCACATTTAAATGCAAAAGTTTAGTTGTGATGAGTAGGATCATTCAAACCTTCCAAGTTAACAGAACGATAAAATAATTATAAACTTGTAAAAACAGAAGGAAATACTACCTGTTCTTCTGTAGGTCTCCCGGTGAAAAAACTAATGGCAATTGCAAACAGTGCAGTCATCAGTGTGATTAATAAAGCAAAGTACATGTAGTGAAAATTTTTCAATATTTCTGGACGGGTATCAGGTTTGAGACAGTCACCGCTGCTATCATTGTAAGCATACACTAGTATCATACGGGTCACACCCGCTACTAGCGCAATCATTAAAGACCAAAAGGCACCCTAAAAATTAAATAAAGATAATCAAATCATTCAGAATTAAAAATATAGTAATTTTCTTACAAAATAAGACTTCTATATTGAGCATTTTGATGTAAAAATATCGATCTATTAACTAAAGCTGAAATACCTTTTCATTAACCATTGGTACTAGTACGGCCAATAAAAAGACAGCAGCAAAAGGTGGTGCGAGGTAATTAGTTATTTCCTGGATATATATAAACACCTGTCCCCCTTGTGTCTCCTTTAGAATAGGGACCCAAGCAATGGATACCCCAATCATCACTACGATGAAGATCCTGTAAGAATAATTAATTTTAAAATGTATGCAATTGAAAAGATCTTGGTAGAAGAGATACCTTTTTTTACTTGTCATTTATAAACACAAAAATACATGGAGATATCTCTTAAACAAAAATAATACATGTACCAGTTTTCTTTCAGAGAGCGATATCGCCAAACAATTTTATTACATCTGTATCTTCTTTTTTTTCAAAAGCTATTTCTCCTTTTTTTAAAAGTCATATTTCAATATTTGAAAAATATATTTCCCAGTTAAAAATGTATTTATCAAAAGGCTACGTATAATTTTCATACAATTCTTTTCAAAAAGATACTGAAATAAAAGATGATGCTCTCAGTACCTTCCAACTATCATAAGTTCTTGTACACTGGCATTCTTACGGATTCTCTTGTAAATATCAATAGTGAAGAGAGTAGAGGCGCTGTTAAAAATAGAATCGAGATCACTCATCAGAGCAGCAATCATCACCGCCATCATTAACCCTCGTAAACCTTTTAAAAAGACATAAAGCAGAAATCATCATCGCCATCATCAACCATCGTAAACCTAAAATAGAAATAAAGCAGAAATCATCACCGCAATCAATCAACCCTCGTAAACCTTAAAAAAGACATAAAGCAGCAATCATCACGACTATCACTATCCCTCGCAAACCTTTATAAAAAAAAAAATAAAGCAGCAATCATCACCGCCATCATTAACCCTCGTAAACCTTAAAAAAGGACACAAAGCTGCAAACATCACCGCCATCATTAACCCTCGTAAACCTTAAAAAAGGACACAAAGCTGCAAACATCACCGCCATCATTAACCCTCGTAAACCTTAAAAAAGGACACAAAGCTGCAATCAATACCGCCATCATTAATGAAAAAGGTGAAGATAACGAAGAGTGATCGACCTCAAAAAATCTAGAAGCAATACAAATCTGTGAAGAGGGCATAAACAGGGACCCAAGGAAATTTCAGTGGTCGGATCAGGTGCCCAGGAGAAGTAAGCATGCATTGTCAACCGGTCATACCCGCTGTGAGCCCTGTGTATTGATCAGGTAGACGGAACAGTCAAATTTAGTATAAAATCAAAGGTCTTACAAATGGTATGAAACACGTCAGCCTAATTACGACCCAATGATAGATTATATTTGTTTGAAATGTCATTATAACGACCATAAAATTTACGACATGCTACTTTAAACATAGGTGATGAAATCCCTGTAACATCAACTTATCTGTCATAAGCCTGTCTCAGTTTACAAATTGATCCCACCCAGAGCATACTCCTGAGTATCGAATAAGTTTGGAGACTAAACACCATATGCAGGTGATAGTGGAATATTACTACATAAATAGTGGAAAAGCTGAAGTCATCTCGTTTGACATACAATTCAGTTGTCAGTTGGCCCTTATCGTCTACAGTCAGTAAAACATCCAAATTTGAAACAAATATGGCAGACTCTGTAGTGTCTTTTAGTTCAAGTTCACTTGGATATAGCTAGTGACATATGAATAGAAGTAACTATAATTGAACACTATATTGTTACTGTTACAAGCCTTGTCTGCTGAAACCATAACATAACACCATGACCATAAACATATTGACCATGTAGTCTTTCTACTTCTTTCATCAACTCCAATTTAGTGAAATAGGAAGGATGGATGGTTCACACTGTGCCCTCGTAAACCACAGTTAAAAAACATAAAGCTGCAATCATCACCTTGTAAACCTGGGTAAAAAAGACATAAAGATGCAATCATCAATTTCATCATTACCAATTATGTAAACCTTTAAAAGACATAAAGCAGCAATCATCATCGCCATCATTAATCCTCGTAAGCCTTAAAAAGGCATATAAAGCAGCAATCAGCACCTCCATAATTAACCCTGGTAAACATTTTAAAAAGACAAAGCTGAATTCATCAACTCCATCATCAACCATCGTAAACTTAGGTTAAAAAAGACATAAAGCGGCAATCATCACCTCCATCAATAACCCACGTAATCCTTAAAAACATATTATTGGTATCTGGAAAAAGTGTTTAGGGTAAATAATATTTATGATTAAGAAGACATTAAAAATTCATTGTTTTACCTTCGGGCATGATTCCTAACACCAGACGGGGATAGGCAATATTCGTACACCCAGCATAGGACTGGCACACTTCGTAACAGATGTCTCTGTCGACGCAAGCAACTTCATCTGTTCGAGAACGTGACAATACAGAATTGTTTTAAATACAGAATACAAAAATATTTTAAATAGTTAGAATTTGTGTTAGGTTGAACTTGTATCTACTGTGTTAATCCTCAATATTAAGAAATTAGAAGAATGTAAAATATAAGTTTTCATTACCATCTGGGTGAGAAAAAAAAAACAGAATTCTTTTGCCAAACTAAATAAAAAATGAAAAAAAAAATATAAAAGCAACAGAAAAGAAAAAAATTGTTTTGTTTAGAATATGAAAATAGAAAATAAGTGATGCAAAATTTAGACTGGAAATTCATATAAAAATTATTTTTAGAGGATTTTCTTCTAATTCGTTATGTGTAAATAATTGTTTTGTTCAATGTGTTTATAATAATTTCTGTTTCTTGAAATTCATGTTTGAATACAGTCAGAGAAAATCTTCCTCTAAATTATATACTATCAGTGCAATACTATTCACTAAATAAGCATAAGCCACAGTTATGTTTTCTCATCGTATTGACAGTACATGTTTAGCTTAATTTCTCTGCTTGTTTTCTTGTAGTCGGAAATATCAACTCCGATTGGAGAGGGCGAAATTTCCAGTTTTCGTAATGGCGCCGGTTCTGACGTTTTCCTGGCTTTTTTACTATTTTTATATTTTACGTGCCAGGAAAACGTCAGAACCGGCGCCATTACGAAAACTGGAAATTTCGCCCTCTCCAATCGGAGTTGATTTTCGATACCTGGGAACCGAATTAAATGCCGTTTTCACAATTCATCAAAAGCACAATGCTTCTAGTACTCACCAATATCGATGAAAAGAAACATCACTCATCATTTCGATGCGGAACTTGAAACATTTTAAAATGCACGATATGAAAACAAATCTCGACAGTCAGATAAAATGTTTTCATCGGATTGTATATTTTATAAACAAACCATAAAAACGATGGTGGTGAGTACTAAAAGCATTGTACTATTGATAAATTGTGAGTTTGGCATTTCAACCCGAGAATGCCGCCTCTGGTTGGAGGCGGCGAATTCCCAGTTTTCGTAAAGGCGCCGGTTCTGACGTTTTCCTGGCACGTAAAATATCAAAATCGTGAAAAAAACCCTGGAAAACGTCAGATATTTTGGACTAGTTTTCATGTAACAAAATCATTTTTTTTCACAAATCTTTTACACAAAATACACACAACATTAACACTAGGAGTATCTATTTTGTTAACAAACCAAGTATAAGCTTCAAAAATGGTTTACAATAGAATACTATTCTGTCTCCTGCGTCAAAATGAATCTTAAAATGATTGTACATCATACAGAATAATCGGGGAGAAGCTGGCTGGAAATAGACTATTATCATACCTGGATATTTGATTCTACTGATCATTCCTGGCATAACCATCATAAACAGAGGAAGGATTTTAATGAAGCCCGCCATAAGTGTTGCTCCTTTAGCATGGGAGATGCTTTTTGCTGCAAGTAACCTTTGGACAATGACCTGTTGAAAAAGCAAAAAAGAAAAAAAGTTAACGTATAAGCTAAAAAGGTTTCACCTATTTGTTTTTTTTTTTTAAATTAAATCAGTCCATATTATTTTCACAAATAACTTTGTATGATATTTACGTGTAGGCTTACACTTGCATTCTCAGCATCATATTCTTACTGTATATTTTGGATTTTTTAGACCAAAGAATCTTATTTATAAAAATACGGTTGTTTGGGCTTAAAATATAAATATTCAAATAAAATGTAAAAAAAAAAGAAGGTTTAATGAAAACTGAAATCCAACCAACAATGAATACTGAATGTAAGGATATTTTTAAAAATGTCATTACCTGATCTGCACACCAGTACCAGATTGAGCCTGGTGTCTGACCCAGCAAGAATCCAGCCCATGGCATGTAATCATCATCCGCTTCTCTCAACATCCGAAATGCGTTTTTGTCCGGTAGGTGGCAGGTAGCATTAGGTATTTGATAACTCTCATTTGTCATGGCTTTCTGATACTCTTTCACCATGCCATCATATCCACCAACATCCTTAAAAGCTGTTGGATAAAAAATTGTTTAACGTCTTAGTATTACAGTTTCAAATTTTTCCTTGTTAATATTAACCATCTTCTGTTGATTTCTGTTTTCTTATAATGATTAAAAGTGAAAATTAACGATTTAAAGTACAACAATTCTTCATAGAAATCTTCATGTAATACATAACAATTTTACTTATTTTTTTTTAAAATACATTTGTGATGAATATTTTTGGAAGGATTCGTTTTTGAATGTCTATATTTAAAAGTTAAAGAATCAATTACGTTTTTAGGAAAACTGAATCCTTTCATAAAAATGTATTTGTACACTTATTTACATACATGTAAAGAGCTTCTTATTCCATACATTCTAAACAATTGCTTGTGTATTATACTAGTCAACTGTTGATCTGTTGCTCACTTAGCAAGACCAATGGCATTATTTCTTAGGATATATTTAGGAGTTCTCATTTTGATTGATTGATTGTTTGTTGTTTTACGTCCTACTCGAGAATTTTTCACTCTTAAAGATACGTCACCATATACCGGTGAATGGCTTCATATTTATACTTTTACTCGGCACTCAGGGCCATTGAGCAGTGAGGGTTACCAGGCCTATCGTGACACGGGGCCTTGGTTTTTAAGGTCTCGTCCAAAGGACCCGCAACTTTCACTTTAAAGTGCCGAGCAATTGGCCAAGGAACAGTTGCTTCCTATTTTTTTTATCGACTTAGGTCAGTCGCAGCCGTGATTCGAACACACGACCTTCCGATCACGGAGCGAGTCTCTACTGACTGAGCTACCGTGACGGCAGTTCTCATTTTGAAAGAGGGGTTACATGTACATATAGCATCCCTCAACTGTGTCCTCAAAAGTCTAGCATTTGTTCAACTTTTATGAAATATCTTTACAACATTTGCATTTTTTTCTCTTTTGTACACAGGCAAATTTCAGCGAATGTTAAACTAAGTTACAAATGAACGTTTACCAAAAACAAATTTATTTTTCCATTTAGGGTGAGCAACAAATATATTAAGCAGGAGTTCATAAATGCTTGTCAGTGCATGTTCCGGTATGATTATTACCTAACCCACTATCTCAATTGTCAATATAAAAATTGAAATCTTTCTAAATATTTTACGCTTCATCGTAAAAAAGGAGAATGTTAATCTATTAACAGTCGAATGAAGCGTCGTGATATTCTGACTTTCAAGTGATCACGACGTTTTTGCCAAATGACAGTTTCTATTTCGTTATATCAAAAGTTAAGTAAAAAAGTTCTGCAGGATTGATTAACTGTTTGTTTTTATTTTAGCTAAGAATGCAACGGTTCATTCGACTGTTAAATTATAAAACAACCATAATCAATTCTGAAGAACTTCTGATATAACGAAAGAGAAACTGTAATTCTGCAAAAAAAAGTCGTGATCACTTGAAAGCTCGAATATCACGGCGATCATATAACCATGAACTAAAAATTTATATAGTAGTTCAGGTAGTAAAACACTTATTTCATGTCAGGGGAATAGACAAACTTAGAGTTTAGGTAGTGAAAAAGACCTTGGAAAGACCTGAAAAACCGTTGACCTCAGACATCGTCCTTGGCCAGCAGTTACAGATTTTCCCCACTTTCATGGAAGATTACTTTGACTGTTCCCCAAGTATCCATGAAATAAGTATACAGTGTTTCAGCATGTCTTTAACAATTAGAATTTTCTCTTATGTTCAGAAAATGTTTCAATTAAATAATAAACAAATGTTTGAAACTTATGTTAAACATACTGCTAATACTTGTGAAATTTAACAAATCCATTACAGAAATGTCGAACATATGAAAACATGCTTCAAACATACGATAAGCATACTGCTTAAGGCCAAGATTTTAAAAAATGGTGCTTGTTTTATATTTAGAAAATATTTTACAAGCTTACATGTCTGCATTTATCCTTGTTTTAAAGAGAGTTTATTGAAAACATTAATCATTTTTATTATTAATATTGAATACATTTATCGAAGTATAAAGATTTCTTGAATATTTTACCTCTTGACAGTGTTAACTTTTTAAAATTCTTTTCAAAAGATAAAATGATTTCTACGGAAGCCCGTTGATGCCAGTTCAGAGAAAGAAATATTTTTTTATTGCGTTTAAACGCAATAATTATTGCGTTTAAACGCAAAACATTGCGTTTAATCGCAATAATCATTGCCTTTAAACGCAAAACATTGCGATTAATCGCAATGTATATTGGGTTTAAACGCAAAACACTTTGCGTTTAAACGCAAAAGATTGCGATTAAACGCAATCCTTTGCATTTGAACGCAATACCTTTGCGATTAAACGCAATAATATTTTTGCGTTTAAACGTAATAATATTTTTGCGTTTAAACACAATAATTTTTGCGTTTAAACGTAACAATTTTTGCGATTAAACGCAATACTTTTGCGATTAAACGCAATAGTATTGCAATTAAACGCAATACTTTTGCGATTAAACGCAATAATCTTTGCATTTAAACGCAATAATCTTTGCGTTTAAACGCAATAATCCTTCCTTATAATGATTTGTTTTGCATTTAAACACAATGATACTGTAGTTTCAAAATCAAACATGAATTAGTCAAAGCTTATAATTACATGTACATGTACTAGGACCCGACACTTCAACTTTAAGAAGATTCGATTTGTTCTGTGTCTTTTTGCAAAATTTTCCAGTTTTTGAAAATTGTGGTAAAACAATGGCATCCTAAAAACCTGAATGTCTTAAATGTATTAGAACCCAAAACTCTTTATGAAGTGTCTGATCAATTGCTTACGTATATCACAACTTATAGAGAATGTTTCAGTGGTATTAATAGCACTTGTAAGTTTGATACATGTAGTACACATCGATCAATCTGTTTTCATTTGATTTTGATTTTGATCTCATATAAATCCATCACATATGTGCTTGTGTTTACCGTATGCAACCATAGGAAGGGTTATGAATGTACATTAAAGTCTAAATACTTCATCATGTTGTACGTAATTCCAACATTTCCTCAGTCCTTCAAACAACGTAGGGGACAGTTTTTTTTTAACAGAGCAACTGACCAAAACTTCATTAAGAATGTAGAGAATAATAAGCTTAAGACATGTCTCGTTCTTAGGTTGCCTTTGTTTTAATACCCGACATTTTTCTCCTCTATTATTATTAGTGATTTCTCCTTTCAGAGAGCGTTTCTGATTCTATAAAGCTAAACAATACGCAATTTCCTCATAAGTAAAAAGAGAAAGAAATAAAAGATATAAGTATGCGTGGGTCCACTGCACTCTGCAAAGTTTGATATATATGACTGTTTGTAAAAACAAAAATTATTGCCTTTGAACTAAAAGATTATTGCGTTTAAAAGCAATAATATTGTGTTTAAACGCAAAAACTATTGCGTTTAATCGCAAAAATCATTGCGTTTAATCGCAAAAATATTATTGCGTTTAAATGCAAAAACTTCTGCGTTTAATCGCAAAGTTATTGCGTTTAAATGCAAAAGATTGCGTTTATTCGCAATCTTTTGCGATTAAATGCAAAATGTTTTGCTTTTAAACGCAATATACATTGCGATTAAACGCAATCTTTTGCGTTTAAACGCAATGATTATTGCGATTAAACGCAATGTTTTGCGTTTAAACGCAATACTTATTGCGTTTAAACGCAATAAAAAATATTTCTTTTTCTGAACTAGCATCAACGGGCTTCCGTAGATTTCTCTATCTCTTTCATTGCAGCCCGGAGGACCGGGCTGCTCTATACATATAAGTTTAAGTGTTGGTATATGGGGATTGAGGTGGGAGAAGTTATTCAGAATTAAAGGTTTTCTAAACATGAAAAAGATTGTTAATCAGAATGTTCTTTCCCTTTATAAATTACGAGATACACAATATATGAACTTCCATAAAGTGAATCTGTAAAAATATATATGTTTTTCATATTTAATATATAAAGTTGCTTATCATTTACTATCGAAAAAACGACAGGTCCCTTTTTTTAGAACATCGAATTTTACTTATCGCATAAAAACGTAAAAAAGTACTTTACACAGTTCGTGTTTTATATTCTTTAAGTGAAAGACATTTTTGAAAATAGGTGATGCATGTGTCTGGTTTCAAATTATATTTTATGCAGCCAACATTACTTGAGGAATTGATAAAGTTTAAAAGGGTATCGTTTTTGTTCGATTTTCATCCGACTATAAGTTTTCAAAATATTCTCGACTATCGTCTCCATCATGAAGACGCATGCCTTTTTCACACATATCGAAGCGGTTTGATGATCAAGACTCATTTCTATTGTTTACTTTATTTATTTCCCGGGCGACAATTGATGGTTACATCAATGTTTTCTTGTATTTATTGTTTTAACACTATCAACCACGTGAATACATTCATCGGTGAACAACAAAATAATCTGAATATTAAAAGGGAATGATGACAGAGAAAGTATGAAATATTTTGATTTATGTAGATTTACAATTGCTAACAATAGATTTTTCATTACCTAGTCCCATTAAAGTCAATCCACCGCCGACCATCAGGAAGGCTTGTATAGTATCTGTGTAGATGACAGCAGTAAGTCCACCTGGAATTATTGCAAAAGAAATTTTAAAATTGAAACTGGCAAAGAAATCTCTATCTTTATAATAGATACTAATATTTAAAGATAAAAAATATTCAAAAAAAAATATTTGATATAAAAGTATGTTTTTCCTTCTTTGCAAAGTTATTGTGATTCTAAAAATGGAAAAATGTTGGACATCAGGGAATATAGAAAATTACTTAAAACGCAGTTTTGGAGGCCTTTGTATGGAAGCCCTGGAGGGACATTGACTTACTTCTTAGGTGTTTTGACTTAGTTCTTATGACTTAATTGTTAATTCTTGTTATTCTAAATTTGGTATCACACATTTACTTAACCCAAAACGTGGCGTGAAAGATGGAGGGTACGTGTAGTTTTAGAAAAGAAGAAAGTAATATTTTGCCTTTGAATTTATTAGTCTAGATAAATTAGTAGTTATGTTCATGCGTTCAATCATTATGCAAACTGGAAGTTACAAATAAGAATTAAGAAATGACTATTAAGTAAAAAGAAATATTAACAAATAATATTAACAAATAAAAATTAAGTTGTAACAACAAAGTTGCAAGATATAAACAGATAAGAATTTAATGGCCACAACAGTACTGGACGTTAAACCACAATTAATCAATCAAAAACCACAGTTTAACTAGGACTAAACATATCATTTTAATGATACACGTAAGTCAAGCCACACGTTCTCCACAGCTACGTTACACTAAGTTATAACCAGCAACAAAAAAGTCATAACAAATAAGTCACAACAAAAAAGTTATAACAAATAAGTCACAACAAGTAAGTCAATGTCCCTCCAGGGCTTCCGTACCTTTGTCATCTATGGAAGTAAACGATGGGTGAAAATTAGGATGGCAGTTTACAGAAATTATGAATTGGATAACAAACAAGTTTCATGCGACACAAGTTTTGTTTTACAGCAAGTTTCACTTATTTGTCTGAACGTTCACAAGTGATAATTCCAGAACGTTTAATAATAATATTTGTTTACTTATATACCGTTTTAATGCTAGCATCTAAATCAGAATTAGTTTTCTTTTCAAAATATTTTAACGCCCCTAAACCATAGCTTTATATACATTAAAATATATGCCAAAAAATGTGGATAATTTTAAATCAAGTTTTTTTTTTCACATGTACTCAATATTTACAGTATTGTTAATTGCAAGTTATAAAAATAATGATACCTGTTATAGTCATAAGTCCTGTGACAAAAACAAGAATGACGATGCTAAGATACAAGTCCCACCTGAGAGATTGCTGAATGAAGAGAGCTCCAGTGAAAAGGTCTCCCTGTGTAAAACAAAGAAATACGTTGAAATCTGGCCTCTTAATTCACAAATTGTCGAAAATAACATTTTAAAACTGACATATGCAACAGTATCATTAAAAGTCAAATACTGCACTAATCATACATGTACTTACAGTATTCATACTTACCGAACATTTTGTAAAAATGTACAGGATAAGCGAAAGAACTGCAAAGTAGATTCGAAGCCGTTTCCCACCAAATCGCTTGGAGAGGTACTGAGGCATTGTATACGTCTATTGAAGCACAATAAAAGTATAAAGTTTCAGAAAAGGAAGCTTATAACGTTCACTGAAAATTAATAAGGTAATTATTTTTACTTTGAATTAATTCTTTCTATGAAATTTTAATATTCTAAGTGAAACTTGAACATACCCCGCAAGCTATGTACACGGGTATAAAAATCCATCCCAGTAACTGAAGCAACAGTATTGCCTAGACAACAGAAAGGACATTTAAATATGATGATAATAAGAACAGATTGTTAATTACTCTTCATAACAATGTAATTGTATACTTATTTTTATTAAACAAGAAACGACTTTGTCAAAGCGTTCGAAAATGATCGAAATTTCTATGAACGTTTGTATATTAATTTGAGGTGAACCAAAAATTTGAATTATTATTACTCCCTTCCTCGGAAACTTGTTTGCGGAGAAGTATATAAGAATCACCTTGTCCGTGCAATCGCACCTTCGTTATACAGTAACTTTACATTATAATTTTTATAAGGAAAAAATCCGGAAGCTCTTACTTGACATAAATATTGCTTATGACATAACTTTAAGGCTTATTTTGAAGTAAATTTTGTTGAGTATGAATTCTTAAAATCTGATGCTGCAGAATTTTGTATAGGTCCTCTGTATCAGAGAAAAGTTGTTCGTAGTTGAGACGTTAAATAAGTCATGTTGTATCTCTAGAATGAGTAAATTAATCTTCAGTTGGATGAAGTCCGTGAGTTTAGAGTGTACGTACATTAAATTCCCATGCACCGACACTGATCCCATTGCCTGCACCCGATCCTGCCAGTCCAATGAAATGTTCAGTTCCAATATTACTTACAAACAACGAAGCACCCACCTAAAAGTATGAAGTCAGAAGGAGTTTAAAAAGCACAAACATTTTTTATAATTACTATAAATAAAGAAATTTAGAACATGTAAGCAGACTTGCTGAGAATAGAATTTTTGGGGGATGTTTTCTTCTGCACTGAATTACTAACAGGTAACCAAAGCATTGACCTTCCTGCCAAAAAATAACCACCAACTGTCTGTCTGTTTGCTCTATACATTGCCTACAAATAAAAGGATAAGTTATAGAAATGCAGCATGTTCATAAGTGGAAAAAGTATGGAAAAATTGATATGTGGGTTGTTCCTTATCATTTGATTAGAGTTTTTTTGGTCGTGTCACAATACATACACATCAACACTTTTTATATACATTGTAATCAACATCTATTAGAACTGAATCTAATTGAAAATCGATTGAAAACTGGTACCATCGTAATACCGTAATAACTACCCTGTACTTTCTTTATTTTAACGATTGCTTATTGCCCCCTAAATTTTGTCTGCCAAAACATTTTATTTAAATATGACATTTGGTGTTATGTCTGTTCTTCAAATCAAACCCCTTGGGAGGACAATACTTACGAATATTCCCACAATAATGATGACAATGAAGTATGCAATGACAACTCCGATATCACCCCCACTTAGGCCAGTGTCCGTGTGGAGATTGTAATTTGCCTTAAAATTATAGTACGCTTCGCTCTTGTCCCCCATGGTGCTTTTTCTTTCTTTGTTTCTGTGAAAATATAAATGTAGAAGTCAAATCTGCAAAATCATATTCATAGTTCTTTTTAAAGAAATTTTCAATGAATAGTGATAAAGCACAATATCCAAGCATTCCCCACCGATTAAGGAAAGCCTTCATGATAATGCAGATCGTCAAAGCACAACGTTTTGTGCTATTTCAAAAATTTGGGCTTTGAATTGGGGAAAAAAGTCAAGAAATCTATTAGTGATGCACAATTTAAAATTAGGTTCTTAAATGTCATCTGAAAAATTGAAATACATATACTACGAACAAGTATTCTTCATGTTTCAATCTCTACAAAGCAATCATTTATTTTAAAAAGTAAATCAGGTTGCGCAATACCTATAGTTACCTTGAGTTAAGATTCTCTGGTAAATTTTTGATATGTTAGACTACTCCTCTGTGCAGAAGGTACATTCTCAACGTTTCATTGTGATCTTTTCTGAAGTGTAAACAAAGTTATGCAATATCAACAAAATCTTTCATGAGAGTTTTTATTAGAAAAAATCAACTAGCTGCTGTTTCCAGAACCTTCAATCTTCAATACAATGTGATTTAAATCGGATATTTTCCTCCCAAAATGCCTGAAGATGATAAAAATGTTTCTTATTCTTAAACATAATGAATCAATTTAATAAGGTTGCATGAGAGACATGTAACAGTATCACAACAAATAAAACCACTACAAAAAGAAGACTTTGTTGCAGGTAAATGTCCTTGATAAAAACTTTGCAAACAAGTTTCGTACAGAGTGGTTTAAAATTAAACGAAAACTAGTCTATTTATTCCAGTTCTTTATTGTCAATTACCATGCCGGCTTCATGATAATTATCATGAAGCCAATTGTAATTTAATGCTCACTAAAGGCATTTAGTGATGTAATTGAAACCAGAATTACTGCGGAATAGGTACATGGGTTTTATGTACATTTTTTATCTTTGCAACTAAAATCACATATAAAAAGTATAGATTGTTTCAATAGGCGTTTTAGAATAATTACCCACTTATGAGACGTTAATTTTAAAGAAGTGCCACATTTATGCCAAGTTACTTGTATTCTGTAATGAACATTGATTTCCAGTTCAGATTTACTACATATTCAAAGGGCATGTCTAAAAAGAATTGGTGTATATACAATTTTCAATTTTGCTGTAAAGGACATCGGATACTCAAAACAAAAATATACGTTAAATTTATTTCACAGGCGTTATTTTTGCTGAAATACATATTTAATTTTTTTTTAGTTTTCCTATAAAGCCATTCTTATTGCATTCTCCTTAAATCTCTACTTTCACATGCTTACTCCTCCATGGTACCTGATTCCCCTCTGATGTTTTCCGAGCTCTTGTGTTTGCTCTGCTAACAATTTGTATTGTTTCATACTCACAGTTCACTTTCCAAAGAAGAAATTCTTCAAAATCATATTTCAGTGTTTAATACTTTTAATATACCAGTCAACCAAGATGAGTAACTCGGAAATTGCACATCTTGTGATTGGTCATCAGCAAAATTACTTCGTTGAAAACCGCTCTGATTGTACACACAAGTACACCGAAGTTGTTATTTAAAGGATTTTGGAGTTCCTCATTGACAACATTTTTGTAGCCTTCGGAGACTTTTGTGCTCCTTTATTAGCTGACCTGTTTCTATATTCCTGTGAGGCAGAATTTATTCAAAAACTTCTACACGAGAAGAGGAAAACACTGGCTGTGGCCTTCAATTCGACATTCAGATATAACGACGATCTTTTATCAATTAACAATAGTTATTTTCATTCGTATGTCGACTCGATATATCCCAGTGAACTTAAAATAAAAGACACCACAGAGTCTGCCACATCTGTTTCATATTTAGATGTTTTACTGACTATAGACGATAAAGGCCAATTAACAACTAAATTGTATGACAAACGAGATGACTTTAGCTTTTCCATCGACAACTTTCCTTATTTATGTAGCAGTATTCCAGTATCATCTGCTTATGGTGTTTATATCTCCCAACTTATTTGCTACTCAAGAGCTTGCTCTGAGTATGATCAAATTATTAAAGCGAGGCAGGCTACTCACTGATAAGTCGATGTTACAGGGATTTCAACAGCCTCGTTTAAAGTCAGCATTTCGTAAATTTTATGGTCGTTCTAATGACCTTGTTAACAAATATAACCTATCATTGGGTCATATTTTGGCTGACTTGTTTCATACCAACCGTAAGGCCTTTGTTTTTGTACTGAATTGACCACAGAGGGTTCCATCTACCTGATCAATACATAGGGATCACGGCTGGTGTGACCGGTCATTAGGGGTGCTTACTCCTCCTGGGCACCTGATCCCACATCTGGAATTTCCAGGGGTCTGTGTTTTATGCCTCTTCTCATATTTGTAGTGTTTATGGATTTTTTTAGGTCGATCACTGTTCGTTATGTTTTCCTTTTACATTCATTGGATTTTTGAGCATGATTTTTTACTGTTATCTTCACATTTCATTACTGCAAAAACATTTTTTAAAAAATGAAATCCCCCCAATCTGTTGATAATGATTTTCTGGATATTAATGCATTTCATGTATCTATGATTTATTTACATTTTTATGTGATTAAATAAAAGGACATCCAATGTGTTCTCAGAAAAAAATCCGATTCCATTCTTGAAGTATTTTTTCTATGCTTATATATATAGAATAAGGATGGTTTACAAGGAAAACTTACAAGGAAAATATTTAGGTAATTTATACAGGCATATTTACGTTACACCTCAGCGATAAAATAAGCATCGTAAAATTTCATTTCTTCGGGTCCTCATCAAAATGAATACTAAATTTACTTTTCATGACTTTACAGGTTCTCCAAGACGTGTTAAAATGACTGGTTTTATTTGTCCAGTAAAAGACCAAACAATGTTATGGTGTTAATTTCTTTAGGAAACTGTTTACAAATGCTCGTGTTTCAACATCCCTACTTGAAAGATCTTTCGGTGTGTTTCAAAACTTGAAGAAGCCTGTGCATGACAAGTTTTCCGAGTTTTCAGTGATTTTGTTTATTATCACACTTTTTTGTATGTTATGTTTTTGTCAATTTTGTCACTGTTGAAAAATTTATTGTTTTTAAATGATTTAAAGAAATTTTAGGTATTTTTTACTTTTTAACATTGAATGTTATGTAACATTGTTTAAGAGTTCAACAGCTTAATTATAATTTCTCTTTCTATCTTTTTTATATTCACTTGTTACTAAGGTGATTTTCATCAATTTCTTTCATGTTTTTAAGATGTGAATAAAGAAGTGCATCAAATGCAATAACCTATCCAGAAACTTCTCGAGGCATTTAATATTGCATAAATAACGGTCAGAAAAAATCGATCTACGAGTCACATCTCACTACCGTTTGTAATGAAAATATTTCATATGATTTGATGAATTCAGGTAACAGCTTTTTGGCTCTAGGACATGACCAAAAAAATATCAAAAATTCAAAATTTCATTACAATTTTCAAGTTATTTAATAAATTCATACATTTCACCACTGAAAATAGTGAACTAACAAGATCTCTAAGATTACAGATAACAATTGCGACATTACATTACATTGTTTAGAGAAAGATGCATAACTTCTGTCTGTGTGAATAAATTGAAAGTATACTTAAAATGTCCAATGCAGATATAAAAGAGTGAAAGAAAGAAATGAAATATGTTTGTATCAAATAGCATTGATTCATAAAGAGACATTGTAATATTATACTAGTCTTTTAACATTGATGCAGGTACCATTTAGAAAATCTTACCTTTATTTAGTCCTAGCTTTAATGTCTAAGCAGAGTCGCCCCTTTCTTAGTTCGTTCTATTTACATGGAATGAAGTGGAGCATATCAATTGGAGGTTGAATAAAGCGTCAGGTTAACATATACGCATTAGGTAGTGGGGTTTCCACCGTTTAAAGCCCCATCCCTCACTATTAAGTCCTGTATGTATTTATGACACAATGCGAAAGGACGGACAGAGAATAATTACACATGGTTAGCGCGTTTTTTAACTTAAATATGAAATTCTTAATTTTAAAAAAAAATCTTAAGATTCATGATAATACATTGTAAACAAGTTATTATCAATTGTGCATGTAATGTCCTATTCTAGCACTTGCAGAACTGCTTGTGTGCAACAGGTCAAATACCAAATTATATGCTGACAAATAAATGTCACTTGCTTATTAGCTAATAACACTCATTAAACTATGGAGGAAAGTCCACGAATAAACCCAACACTTAAACCAAGATAATTTGAAGTGTCAAAGGTAGAAAACTGGTAGAATTTGATTGATTCACTTCAAGATAGATGAACCAAATCTGACCTCACACATTTTATCAGTAGATTATTACCTAGAGTTAACTGTAAAGCAAATCAAAGTAAAGGATGGTATTAGTTGTTCCCTAGACTAATTAACTACTACTATAATAGTAATCTAGAGTTATTAGTATGTCAAGTCTGAAGTAGTTATATAATCCTGTTACAGAAACCTCTTTGACTGAGGCAAAATATGAAATAGATAATGCAATTTTCGACATTTCCTTAATATTTAGAACACTTTGAAATTAGAATTTGTAGTTTAAGCATCCAGGCTACACCAATGAATTTCGTATCATTGATTTTGTAAAGCTTGATACTTTAGACAATTAAATACATATTAAAATCTTCCTTTACTATTTCTAATTTCTTTTCTATATGTGCTTTTTTGTTCACTTCAGAGATGCTGACAAAGTATCCTCATACACCTTTAATTTTTTCCTAATATATTCAGCACATTTACGTATTAAATAAATATTTAAAATTCTTATCAAATATTTTTTGTCAATTATATTATTTTAAAGAAAAAGAACATTAAACTCCACGTGATCGTATTAGGTATTAACCCTACGTTCTTGTCACCTTTTCTTAAATTTGAATCAAGCATGTGTGGTAAATTTAACTCTTATATTCTAATATATTTTAATTCCTATATTCCATAGAAGAAGAAAGTCTAAATTTACTTACTAGAATAATTCCTCTATAGTTATTATGATCGTTTCAATATCTTGTCTTTCTTTGAAAAAAACGGATCCGGTACAATTGTATGACTTATCATTTAGAATTAGAGTAATTCTAATTAGAGTAAAATTCAGAATCAGAGTATAAGACTTAATAAGGCATTAATTTATTGTATAAAATCAATGAAGAATTCATTCAGCATACACAATACAAACACAATTATTATTATTTATGCTAAGGGTTTCAAAAATCCCACGCAACTTAGCATTAGCTCACTTGAACCTAAAGGGTATATGCTTTTCTGATCAAACTTTTTCCGACCCTTTTTGGATCCATCTATAGCTGTCTTTCTGTAGTAAGTTTACTTCACATATTCGACATTTTTACAGAACTACAAAGCATCCTTCTTTGATGGGAATTCAAAC